GTATAAATCCCAAAAATTAAAATTATTAAACTGACATGATTTTTTGTACTTAAGTATTTTATATTTGAAATTCAATCTATCAAAAATGTAAGTACTGTATTTAAAAGTAAGGTTTGTTATTCTATATTTCCTAAAACCTATTCGCATTCATACTTAAAGGAAAACATATACATGAATATTATCGTTTGCAGCTAACTGTAAAGTTTCACGTTACATCACGATCTATTTGACACCTGCGCTCAAGGTAAATTGTAAACGCCTCTTAACCGCAAGCTTGACGACTGGAACTTTCTTCTTATCCCTAATTGGTTGCTCGTGCAACAGACTATTTCCGTGTCAATGTTGATAATTTGATTTGACCAATCACATGAATTGTTTACGCTGGATGCATCTGACGAAAAAGATCGTGACGTAACGTGAAACTTTACAGTTAGCTGCAAACAATAATATAGTGAATCGGCTACATATTCAATGAATTAAATAGATAAAACAAATTATGGATTTGGGGAAATATATAAACTTCACAGACCCCTCTGACTTCATATTAACTGAGTTTTAGTGTAAGTAGTTTAAGGAAACCAACCAGTATGTGATGAACGCCTCTGGCTCCTGTTTTCTTCTTTATGGCTTTTTGTGCTATGGCTCTTAGAGCACTATCTGTAAAAATCAGCTGGCACTGAAAAATTAAAAGGCATCGATCAAAATGGGTTCAATGAAATACCATTAGCTCAACACAATGAAAATACAATTAGCTCAACACAATGAAAATACAATTAGCTCAACACCATGGAAATACTGTACTATAGCTCAACACCAGGGAAATACCTTTAGCTCAACACAATAGAAATACCATTAGATCAACACTATGGAAATCTATTAGCTTATCATTCACTTCACTGATATATCACTTGTTATATCTTCAGAAGTTATTGTAAATATAATGAGATTACTACGATGGCCGATATCAGCCATGACACTCTACAGTTAAATTAAGTGTAGAATGCCAGCGTTTTGTACACGTTACGTTGTCTGCTTTCTTATAGCTTTCGTAAAGTGTACAACGTTCACACCAAAATTTCAGATCAGTTTTGGCACTCATACTGCTAGTAATGTGTGATCTGACTTCGTTCAAACTATGGCCGATATCAACCATGCCATTCTACAGTTAAATTAAGTGTAGAGTGCCAGTGGTTTTCAGCTCTGTCACGACACTCACACTGTTCGGGAAAAAATGTGAAGTGTATACATGTGTTATTAATAGACGGTTTAGTTTATCTGCAATTAAAAAGTCTTCAAAACAATAAAAGAAATCCCTGCATCTTGATAGTGCGGTAGGGACACAAAGGGTGCCACAAAATAAAACATCTTGAGTTTTTGTTTTGGTTAATAAAAGGATATATCAAACTTTCCCTATAAGTATAATTATATGAATTAATTTCTGAAAAAAACTTGTCATATACTTGCAGGATAAGGGTATAAGAAAGCAGACAACGTAACGTGTACAAAACGCTGGCATTCTACACTTAATTTAACTGTTGAGTGTCATGGCTGATATCGGCCATCGTAGATTACAGTTTAATATAAATGTAATACCTCATCATAAGACAACAGGAATTCCTTCTGTGCTATAAGAGAGTTTTTAGTTTCTGTTAAGATTTTCACTAGGTGATCCTCATTAAGACTGTGTAGCGATACCACTATGTGGAACCGGCCCACAAATTCGGGAATCAGTCCAAACTTTACCACATCACTTGTCTCTACCTCACTCAGAAGTCTATCGTACTTCAGGTTCAACTGTTCTATATCTGAGAGTTTCCTCTCCTCCTCCTCCATCAGAAGAGATTTATCATCGTGATTACCAAAGCCAAAACTCTGAAATAAAAACAAAAATAGAAGTTAAAGGTTTTTCTATGTTACTAAATGTAAAATCTGGATAATATGTAAAATGTATGTTTGGGGAAAAATCCAGGTCATTCAAGTATAACAAAAAGCCAATGGTCAAAAATGCCTACAAGTGTCAAAGCCATATGGCTAAATCCAAAACCACAAATACAGTCATAAAACCACGTATACGAGGGTCATTCAAAAAGTTCGTAGACTTTTGTAATAACTTTTTTATTTAACGTCATATTTAAACCAAAACTGGTACATATATTAAAACAACAGATTCAAATATTTTGAGCAAAGAAATTGGAATATATCTTGATGTTTGTCAAAATTATCAAAGATTAAAGACAGCAAAAATGGGGTCACGGAGCAGGGTCAATATTGAGTTATTGACTGATTATTCGCTTTTCAAATCTATAGCCATACCTCTTTAAAATTGTCCTTAAATGAAATAAAATTTATATACTTAAATTTACTATTGTTTCATTTCTTCTAAAGCAAAAAGTTAATGTAATACATTGCTTTGTTTAAAAGATATCCATTTCTATAGACAGATAGTCTTGATTTAAAAAAGCAAAAAATCATGACGTTGAAGGACGTCACGGAGCAGCGAGTAGCAATATAATTTTGTTTTGCATTTTGAAACTTTTAAAACAAACTCCGAAAATGCTGGAGAGACCAGGAAAAATACATAAAATGAGCCGTGCATTTGTTTATAATGGAACAGACAATTTTTGAGGGGTAAATACTTTAAACTGGGCGATGGGCGTTCTGCAAAAAACAGATTATAGTTCAAAATCTTTTCAAAAGAGTTAGTAACGTCATGAAACGTGATGTGCGCTTCACTGTTGCGGAACCTGTAAGAGCAGAGTTACATGGTAAAGGATTTGAAAACATTGACAATCTTATTTACCGGGTAAATTATACTCAAATTATTGATAGCATACTAGGTTTTTAAGTGTTGTGGAAACGTTTTAATGAATGAGGAATACGATACAAACCATGTATAAAATGAAAAGGCACTGTGAGTTTGAGAAATGTTCTTTAACGTTGTTTTGACGTTACATTGTTTTTGATCCTGCTACATGGCGACAAAACATGTTGCATTTAAAATTGTCTAGTATGAGTTCCGTTTAATCAAATAGAATGAAACTTCAGAAATCTATAAAATATATCTTTTTACATTAAAAAATGTACTGTCTGATATTAAGATTTGTAAAAATAATGTGATGATAAGGAACATTGTCTACATTTTTTTTGAATGACCCTCGTACATATAATTCAATGAAATGAAACAACAGTTGAATGAAACAACAAACAATTAAGCCCCTTATGGTGATGGTATTCATCTCTGGCTCAAGATATTTGGAGACTCTTCTTCCCATTGATCACACTGCTCTCACCTTTTGATTGGTTCTGCCATGTATAATTTCTGAGATACCAGTAAATGCCCCTGAGGCTATAAATAGAATGTTAGTGGTGTCCACTTGGTAGGTGGTCTCATGTGCATTTCTTTTCCCCATTTTATCAGTGACACTGACGACGTTCGACTCCAGGAGTTTGAGGAAAGCTTGCTGTACGCCCTCTCCACCTACATCTCGGGAGGAGTTAATGCCCCTCGAGGAATTTCCAGGCACAATGCTTCTGATCTTGTCCACTTCATCAAGATACACAATACCTAAAAGATATTATCATTTTTAATAAATGTATAATATCTATAAAAAATATGGATTGCAAATATTGAACAAGAAAAGTTTCATCTTAAGCACATTACACATCATTTTAATAGAGTTCTGAACTACTGGGTATTATGACTAATCATGGGTATGTATTTCTTTAGAAGAAGATGTTTTAAATAATTTTTCAATACATTCTACGTTAATTTTTTTTATTACAACTGCTGCCCATCCTGACCCTGGAGGCTATGATTTGAACAATCTTAATAAATCTAAACTAGGACAGGAAGTTTTGATACATTTTGGTCCCATATTTTTGAGTGACTTACATGACCTATAAAGTCAAATATTACTTTTAAGTGTCAGGAATGAATGTTGACATTACATTAAAAAATTCTTTCATAATTAATATTAATAGCCTGTTTAACCTTGTTGACATTTTTCGACATCGAAGTCTGCATTCTCCAGTAGTCTGTAGATGACGGACTCCACATCTTCTCCGACATAACCAGCAGCCGTGATGGACGTACAATCACACATCGCAAATGGAACGTCCAAACATTCTGCTAACTTCTTCACCAATAAAGTTTTCCCTAGAACGAAAGTTATCAAAGATTATCATTTATATTCTACAAGTTATGAAAGTCTCAATCAAAATGTTCTTGTATTGTTCATCCATAAATTCAGAATACTGTAAGTCAATCTTTATTCTCGAGAACTTTATTTTCGCGTAATTACTCGAGACAGTCTGCTCGCGAAAATTTAATTCTCACGTATAATAGTATTCCTTAAGATTATACAAACCAATAACCACAATTCATGAAAATTTTGTCTCGCTAATCAACAGTCAATGACTATCTCGCGAAAATAAGGTGTCGCGAAAATTTAGTGATCTACAGTATATGCAAGTTTAGTCTTAGTTGGATTTCTACTACAAATGGACCTGCTCAAAAAACTTAACATGCAATCATCTTGAAAAAGATCAGCTGCAGAATCTGAAGCAGATCTGAGAATATGTGTCACTAGATGCATCATCCATATACTGTGGAATCATTTTTATTCGTGGGGACATAATTTCATTGACAACAAGTTCTTTTTCGTAATTCAACTTTTAATGAATAATGAAACAAATGTTTGTATATATGTTCGTGGGGATGTAAATTCGTAGGTCAGGGTTACCCATGAAAGCCACAAACATTGATCCCCCACGAACAATGTTAATTCCACAGTAAGTTTGGTCACTACTTACACTTGGGAATGGACTTGCTTAGTGCTTAGATACTTAAACCTAATATACAGTATGCATGGCATGAGCTCATCTTGAATTTGAAAGATTTTGAAAAATGAAGCCATGCCCATTTAATCAATGCCCTAAATTAGCAAGCAAACAAAAATCCATAAAATTTAATTTTAGTAAATTCATTTAAATGAATATTTTGATTTGTTTTCCATTTAGCTATAAAACCAACTTTTCTTTACAAGTCATATAAATATCTCTCTGCAAATGCATATATTTTGCAAAAAATAAAAACACAGCAAAATGAACAGCAGCCAAGACTGAGGATAGTCACTAAATACCTGAGCCAGTGGGTCCTAGCATTAAGACATTACTTTTCTGTAATGTGATTGGTTTAGAGTCTGTCTCTGGGGATAACATTGGGGGGTCACTCTCCTCCTCTTGGTGAGAGTTGAACCCCAGGGCACTGGAGGAATGGCCTCTGATGGCCGCTTCCAAGGACTCTGAGAAAAGAATAAAACAAAAAAATAAACAATAAATGTATTACACATAACTTCAAAATTCGCACCACATACTCAATGAAATAAATTCCTTTAATTATTAATAAATAACAATAAATGATGATCCACAGAATTTTACAGATCTTCCCTTCATATTTACAGATCACAGATCATCTGACTGACAATTATATACATAACACACTTACAAGTATTACATATTACTTTTCAGGATAATGAAATCAGAAGTTTTATATCAACTTTACCTGCAAAGAGATTTTCACCGAGTTTGGGTTTTGGTTGAGATGTCTGACTGCTAGTTTTACACCAGCGGACCCTCTTATAGTGGTTATAGGAAGCTACAGATAGGCTCTTCTTTGCCAGTTCCTGACCAATTACATGTTCATCCAGAAATCTATGGATCTATGTAAACAATTGTGAAAATTAAAAGAATGATGAACTCTTTCCAAGAAAACTTTGAATATGATCTGACATTGCATTATTTGCCCTGGAAAATAAGTTAAATAACTGCAAAGACATTTTCACCGAGTTTGGTTTTTGGTTGAAATGTCTAGCTGATAGTTTTACACTACCGAAGATCAATCCAAATAATGATTAAGAAAAGAATGTTAAATTTAGTCTTGCTCCACTTGCAGTCTTCATTTATCAATGAGCATAGCATTCATAGAATGATTTTTTTTAGCTAAGTTTTTTTAACAATTATGGTTGACATCTGTACTAAATGAAGAGCATCTTTTTAATGAACCTTACCTCTTTAGGGGTTGGTATACTGCTCTTGTCCTCTTCTTCTGTTCTGATAAACTCTTGGTCAACTTGTTCCTCTGATACCATGATCATCTGTTTACAGTTGTCACATTTCACAAATCCATTAATCATCACTAAAGAAACAAATAGACATAAACACCACAAATTGAAATGCAACAGTTGTCTGTAAAGTTTTGGACAAAAGCTATTATTTTCTTAATAATGACTATACTGGCAAATGTGTACAATTATAATTGTTACCAGGACTTCAGGTACGTTATTTTTTAAAAAATAAATTCACAAACAACAGTTATATATTCTTTAAGAAAGTTTTCAAAGTGAGTAACTCATTCTACCTTTACATGTGGACAGCTTTATATAAATATATACTATTACAGGTATTACTGGAGTATTGAAACTCAAGTTAAATGCACTCCACAAAGGGAAGAAGTCCACAGGAGTTCAAAACTTTTTTTGTCATGGTCAAGTCCAGGACTTGAGGAGTAAATTTTAGGCAAGTCCAAGAAAGAAATTTCAGAGTCCATATTTACCTATAATCATTAAATTTATGTAACTTATAATTTATTTTCATTTGTTGCATTGAATGAATAAAGACTATATGTATTAATATATGTTTTATTTGTCCTCCATAAACTGTCATATAGTCATACATGAGTATTTCAACACAATACCAGACTGATAGATTATACATTACAATAACTTTTACAAATACTCACTACTGAATAAACCATCTGTTACAATAAATAGAAATTAGAATGTGCTGTAAGTCACAGCTAAAACCGAAATTTAACAAACTCATTGCCGTTTGTCATATAGGAGGAAACATGAGGAATTGCGTAAAAGCAAGAGTCTAATCGCAATGGAAAATAAAAAGACGGATTGTATTTTCGAAACGTTCCTATTGTTTTATGGGTATTTTAACGCCAACAAACCCACATTTTTACTTAATACATTTGAGAATTTGCTTTATTTTTAGCTTTACAATCATTTTTTTAACTTATAAAAAAAGATAAACAAGAAACATAGCCAAGTCCCAGGACTTTGGCGAATTCTAAATGCTGAGTCCGGATCCGGAATTTGTTAGTCCGGGACGTCGGACTTGAGGATTTTTGATTGAACCCCTGAGTCCATAAGATTAGAAGAAGAAACTAGTAGATGCTTCACCATAATCATTGTAATGTATGTAAGTTCTCTACTGATGAGAAGTACAGAAATGTAAAATCTTTTTGATACATGATATTATGTCTCACAGACACACCACAGCCAAAATAAATAAGAGAATAGAGAATTCTGATTCATAAAATTGAACGTATAATTAAAATTTATGGATATGTAAACGTCCAGATGATGTTTTGATAAAAGAACTTACCACTGGAGTCAATATTGAGGGCGCCTCCACAATTTGAACAAGGCCTGACTCTACGTTCCTCTCCCCCCATACTACTGCCCCCTTGATCTGGCCCCCCTGTCTCCCCTCCATTTCCATTGTCGCTTCCTCCCTTGGACTGCAGAGATGAGGTCACATGAAAAGGTCTGAATTTTTGACACTGCCCGAGTTGACTAAGAACCTTCTTTTTGTTTTGATTTCTAACTCCACCTGTAAAAGAGGTAAGCACAGTTTGAATACGGAGGGAACATTGTTTAATATATACATGCAAGCACAATGCACCAAGGAAGCTTGTGACGAGGTTAGTCATATAGTTAAAGCGATGACAGATAACACAGTACTGGCATGTATATAAGCATAGATCATGTTTACAGTTTATTTTTATTGTATAACAACTTACTGTTACACAATTCACAAATTTTGACAGGATTCATGATGATATATAATAATATAATTTACAACGGATTTCCTATAAAAGTACTTTGATTCATGGAAATAAAGAGGATGCATCAACCTAATGTACTCATTTTTAAAATACGCCTGCCGACGCCTGCCATCTTATCGCTAGCGACATAAAATACAAATGATGATATTGGCTAACTGCCGTGTTACACAGAAAAACTATACGCCTGCCTGCCGTTTTATTCTTTTATATTCTTAATTTTTATATATATATTTTACTTTTTTTGGGCTATTAACATTATATTTCGCAACTTTATTTTATTTTTCTTTTCTAAAATTAGTCTATACAAGAACAAGAAAACTACGTACGAAACGCCTGCCGTGGTGCTTTTCAATATACCAGACTGGTTCCTAAATACATGAAATATAACAGGCCTTTTTTCTTTTTTTTTTTGACATGGTTAAAAAATATTTCAAAATGTTTAATACAGATCATGATTTCATAATTAATAATTGAATAAATTAATCCGTATTAGGTATTTACAATAATTATGAGCGCTAAACGTAATGACAAGAGAGACAACTCTAATTGGGAAATCGGTACAACAGTTAGTTGGAAGTCGTATAATTCATTAAATATTTTTGTGTTTAATATTTTAATTTGTATTGCATAAAATGGCATCAAAGACATAATTTTTTTATTATTATTATTATTTTTTTTTTTACAGATTGGTGCATTCCATATAGTACAGAGGTCTTAGACGAAGCAGTCCAAGTTTTTGTGTCAAATATTTAAATGAATAAATGATTGAATTGTTTGCATTTGGTGTATTTATTTCATCTTTTATAGGAAATAAATATCATGAATGTACAAGTATGAGAGACGGAAAAAATTAAACATAGTCACACATATTCAAACATTTAGTCTTATTTCACAAAACCATCAAGAACATCCAACTTAGACCTGCTTTGAATACATGACATACTTTAATATGAACTGGCTATAATTTTTTTTCATGAAGAATTCAGTATCTTGAGGTGTATTATTTCAAATGATTTACAAAAGAATTCTTTTTTGTCGTTGTTTCTCCTTTAACACACTCAAATGCCACATATATACACAAAGGGAAAAATTCGGAATTAATCAAAAAGACACATTTTATGCGAAGTTTTAAATATTATAGATGAGGTATGCGATGATTCAAATAATTTATGTACATGAAAAAATTAGGTCTGTTGGAAACACGTTTTCTGGGTATAACAGGTGTAATTAACAACAGCATGAGTACGGAAAATTGGGAAAATTAATTTATGCATATTGCGTATCTAGTGTTTTATTGAAATTTTTTTATTTCTTTTTTATATTTTTCTTTAGTCATCTAACATTTTTTTTTTCAAACTTGGATGGCTTGGGATGAGCACGTAATTGGCTTCGGCACGTTTATTAAAAAAACACTGAGTGGTTTCTTTGTGATTTTAACATGCCTATACCTACAAACTTAATTTCCCTAATTGCTTGGACATCCAGTTAATGAAAACTATAATTAAGTTGCGCGAGTGGAAAAAAGTTCATTATTGATCTGAATGTTAAGTAAAATTTTATTGGATATTTGTGAAGTTAGTATAGAAGGCTTAGTACTATTGGTATTTACATTTTTATCTGGGCGGGACTTGGCTCAATTTCTTTACTCATAATTATCTTTTTTCCTTTAAAAACCTACGATTTTAGGGTACATATCACCAGAAACTTAGTTTCTGACGTCTCTTTGTCACGCGTTCCTGTATTTTTTAAAAAGGTAATACAATAAAATAAAATAAAGTTTTTTTGTACAATGTTTTTTTCTTGTATTATCATCGTTCTGGAGAAAGCAATACTTTGTTGTCTGTCTATTCCATTTAGATATATTTCATCACTATAATTTATTTAACTTATTTAGCAGAAATAAATTTAAGAATAAGTTTAAAAAGCAGGCAACAATTATTGCTCAGGTATAGTATAACATGTACGGATACCTAACGGTGACAACTAAGTACATGTCTTTATTCATTTTCACATGTAAACACACCTCCTTTCATATCTGTGTCTGAGTTCCTTCGGGAGCTTCTGGGAGGAGTTAATGCTGGACATCGGGGTTAACTGCAATATAACTGTATATGTTATATGAAGTTTTCACCCATTGCACGTCCTAACTCCCAGCCAGGTATTACAAAGAAAGGAGACTAACTTGTTAGGCCCCCGGGGAGCTAATATATTCATTGTAAATATTGTTACTTGATTCTACATTTCACATGTCAAAATATGCAACAATTTTACGCCATTTTTTGATTTAAATTAACTGATTTTTAATATTGAAAACGAACATAATATCGATTAATGAATAATTATTTGCTTTGAGCAACAATCGTGTGTATGTGTATACATAAACATAGCACACGCAAGGAAATTCTCTCAGTTGATATATCCCCAACATTGCGTAACTTTACATAACATTATTTTAAACTTGCCCCCCTCAGTGTCAGTAAAGATACAATTCGCTCCCTTTGATCAGCAGTTGACACGTGTAAATTCAATTTCTACAAGAAATCAAAATAAATCAAAACTGAAAATCAGAAGTATTTAATAAATTTTAAACATGTTATATTAATTAAAACTAAGAATGAAGAAAGGACGAACGCAATTTATTATTTTTTTTTTTTTGCATCATTAAAATTTTCTTCAATAGACCTTTTCCATTAATTTTTCTTAATTCCAGTTAAAACTATTAAAATATACACGTATGAATAAAGATATTCTATGATATATGTATAAATCCTGAATTATCTTATAAACTTAAATAGATTCCAATTAGACAGTGTGACACTTTAAAATCTTTCATGTACTTTTTTTACCTCATGTCAAAGATTATTTTTTCTATATAAATATAGGAAATAATAACATACGTGCCCAAATAATACAGTATCTATTTACATGATTTATTTTTAATCAACCCCAAATGAAGAGAATGAAGGAAAAAAAGGATGTTGCATATTTTAATCGTGAAACGTAGATGTCATGTAATGATATATTTTTTTTATCTATTTGTGTAAACAATTGTGAATTCGATGGTTTACCGTGTGAAGACTAGGTTTTATATTTCCAGTTTAGATTTCATATACAGAATAGGTTTGGTAAGTATCCCGGCCTAAGGGAGGGTTAAAACCACATGTGTTCAAGCGTACAACCTGAGACAGATCGCTCGTACATGCACATGGTGGTATAGAGTAGGACATCGTGCTTTGTGTACAACCTGAGACAGATCACAATGCATAGATGAACTTGATGTATAGAATAAGCCCATACAATAGTTAAATTTTGTAAAAATCATAGTTTAGAGAGTGCACTATCCTGGAAAGACCTAACCTCGGGTACCTGTGTTTACACAGGTTGGTAGATGGCTCTGTAGGACATCTATAGAAATGTGTACACCCTAAGACAGATCACATTTCTATGATGAACTGATGTATAGTTAGAGTAAGTGTAGGTATAATTGTAAGGATGATGCTTATTCTCTCCAGTTTGCATCATTCAGCAAGATAGGCATGGAGAATCTTCACACGGTATATGTTTCTTTGAATATGCATTACTAATAATATTCTTTTTATCTTTCAGGAATTGGTACAACCTTGACGACCTGACACCAGATTTTTTCCCACAACTTTTTATTCATTATTAAAGAATTTTTAAAAAAATCTTTTTATTTTTGAATTGTTTTTAAATATTATTTATATTAATTCTCTGAGCTCAAGAGTTTTTTTTTCTTTCCTAGATTAATTCATAATTGAAATATTTTTAAAGAAATCTTTTTATTTTTGAATTGTTTTATTATTTCAAAGTCCAGTCTCTGAGCTCAAGAGTATATAACTGATTTTTCGTTTCCAGTTTTATTCATTATTAAAAATTTTTTTTTAAAGAAATCTTTTTATTTTTGAATTATTTTATTATTTCAAAGTTCAGTCTTTCTATTTTAATAGTAGCTGACCTAAATAGTAGCTAGTTTTTTGAATTATTTTATTATTTCAAAGTTCAGTCTAAATAGTAGCTAGTTTACTCAGTGTTTTTACTTTTTGTATAGTATAGTAAGAATAGTTGTACTCTATAGTAGCTTGTTCTCTTTCTTCTTTCTTTGATTATTCATAACTTAGAGTTAAACTGATTTTTTCTGTTCAGCTACACTAAGTCATTATCGCCACTAGATTATTTATTTTCTCAGATCAATAGCATTTCTTTATTTGTAGTATAATAGAAGCTGACCTAAATAGTAGCTATAGTTATATATATATATATTTTGTAATTATAGTATAGAAATAGTTATCCTTAATAGTAGCTAGTTTTTCACTAAACGAATACAATTTTTATGTTTTAGTTATTTTGTATTTTTCTTTTTTTGTTTTTTTCAAAACTGCCAAGCAGTATATATATATTTTTTTGATTTTCGTTCATTTTTCACGTTATTACGTCATCCAAAAACAAAAAATGGCATCATTTCCATGCGGCAAATGTGGAGAAGAATGCGATGGAAACAGAAACATTGGCTGTGACAGTTGTGACCGCTGGTTTCATCAGAAATGCGAACTTCTAAATAACCATCAATTTGCATTCCTCTCACAAAACAGATTTGCCCTAATGTTTGCTCATTCTGTTGTATGGACTCTAGTGGAAATTTTGATTTCTTGTCTGGCTTGCAAAGGTTATCGCAGCATTCTTTGACAAAAGATGCAGAATACAGAAAGCGGCCATCAAAATTCTCTAGATGGGAAGTTCACCAATTTTGAAGATTCATTAAAAATTCTTTCAGAAGCAACAGTGGGGGAAAATCTGAAAGCAGTGCCAAGCGGACGGAAAGAAAATGTCTTTTTCATTGTTGACAG